CGGACTCCTGCAGTGCTCCCCAAAGAGAGCACCAAAACAGAGCACTGTGCTGCTCGCTATTGGCCTTCTCCCTTCTCCCTTCTCCCTTCTCCCTAGACTGGATGCCTTTTCAACTCAGAACCAATTTTGACCCTTTGTTGTTGGTTTTTTTTGTTTGTTTTGTTTTGTTTTTTCAAAAACAAACCATCAACAACTCCTAAGAGGCCCCCAGCAGTGCCAGGGGAGCAGGTGACTCCATGGTGCCTTCAAAGGTCCTCGTGACCTTGAACTTTGTTCTCACCAGCAGCAGGCGGGGTGGGTGAGAAGCTGGGCCATGGGTCCCGGGGGTTGATTTCATTGGGGACCCTGAGTGTGTACCTCACGTCATAAAGCACGTGCTTTAGGTCAACACGCCAAGAACACGGCCAACATTGAGAACCAAGAAAGTAAAGGAAGAAAGCTAAGAAATCCTATGTGTCAAAACAGAAAGTCATTTAAATGACAGGAGCCCGGGGAGCCTCGCCGGCTCTCCTTAACCCTGAGACCCACCTCGTCAGCCGGGCAGCCTTGGAGCCAGGAGTCGAGACAGGCCAGGCAGGCTGTGGTATTAAATGTTTAATTAAATTTCTCTGCATCTGGCTGCCTCTGAGCAGTAAGTTCTGTGATTTCCAAGTGCTGAACAGGAACTTAGTGTACAAATGTGCAGACCGTGGAGGCGTGACTTTTTGAAAATTGAAGAAACTGTCCTTGATGACAGCGAGGAGAGGGGGTTCTGCTATGGGCCCCCCCGGACGCTGGCTCTGCTGTTCCCCACGCCCCACAGGACAGCCCCGGGTTTCACACTTCATTTCAACAATCAATCGGAAAGGGGAACAGAGATGGGCCGCTCTCAGCAGCTCCGCCTGGTGTCCGGCCCCGTGGGAATCTCCGGGCGGGCGCTGGCCCTCGGCCAGCTCTGGTGGGAAGTCAGAGAACTTCCCAGAACGCCGGCTGCTGGCTCCGCGGCTCTGGAGAGGCTGGGTCTGCGTCCCCAGAGTCCACGCTAAGGGGCAGCCAGGGGACCCGCAGGGTCAGTGTCTCTGGGAATAGAGTTGGGGTCTCAGAATGCGCCTGTGTTTCTCATGAACTCTTAACAACTTTCAACTCAAACAGCCCTGACTTCAGGGAACAGCCTCGCAGCCCAGGGCTCCCCTCTGGGAGCGGCGTGAGCACTTAGCTTTTCAGAAAACAATCGTTCTTGGTGGTGGTCACCTGGGCCCTGCCCGCCCGTCCCAGGGTCCCAGCCCGGGGTCCCAGCCGTGCGGGCAGGTGCCTGAGGTTGGAACCTGCTCGGCCGTCTGTGGGGAAGAGGCCACTTGGAGACAACGGCGTGGGCCTCGTGTGCTCAGAGGCATCACTGACAGTTCCAGAGTCAGGGATCGGGACGCTGGTCACAGCAAATCGACCTCCAAGGGTTCCCACCGAGAACAGGGTCCCCCTTCAATGTGGACCCCTGGTTCCGACATCTCAGACGTGACTTGAGAGCAGCTAGACCTGAGGCTGCGGGAGCAGACACTGTCCCCGGAGCTCACCACCCCCGCAGGGGCCCCGCGCTCCAGGCGTGACGGAGCCTGGCTCACGTTCACGCCACTTGTCATGCGGGCCGCTCTTCCTACGGGCACAGTGAGGGCGTCTTGTGACGGTTAAATGAGGGAGACGCTACCGAGAAGGATCAGGCTGGATATATTTTAAAGTACAGACTTGCACGTGTTCTGGGAGGACAGCCCAGATGCGAGTGATTAAACATATTCCTAAAAGTGTGCGGGTTATACCATCAGTGAACAGTCACAGTGCAGACACGGTGCGTTCTGCCCTCTCTCAGAACAAAAACATGCCTGTTACTGAAATATCAGAAATAAAATCGTAACTGTGCTAAGATCAGAGTGGCAGTCCTCAGCTCCCGTCTCCCCAGCTCTGTGCTAACCTGCCCTCCTCCCCCCATAAGACCGGGACACCCGGGGTTCGAGCGTGGCGGCTGGAAGGGAGGTTGGAGGCGGTGTGGGAACCCGCGGAGAGGGGTTCACGTAGGGTCCTGGGGGATTCAGCGCTGTGGCCACCTCGCGCTGACACTGCAGGGCCTGTAACTGCGCGTGCGCTCCTGGGGGTGGGCACACGGGTACCTCACATCACAGGCGCCCCGTCGGTCACGGGCGCTGTGGTGCTGACGGTGAAAAGCTGACTCGCAGGAGCCGCGCCTACACTCTGCTAAAAGGGGCCCAAGGAGAGAGGCAAGGTGCCCAAACTAACAAAAACTGCCTCCTCCAACCCCGCAACCGGCCAGCACAGCCCACACCTGCCAGCACCACCAGCCACCACCACCCAGGCGGCAGAGGGTGCCGGGGAGGGAAGCTGAGCCCCTGCGCCCTCGGTCTCCCCCTGCCCTGCTGGCTCCCTGGCCACGGCTCCCCAGCCACTTACCCCACAGGCAGGCTCCCAGGGGCCCTGGTCGGGAGGGAAAGGCAGAGGGCGCCTCTCTGGTGCCAGGGAGCAGGCTCGGCCTCTGGGTCGACTGCCCACCTCCGGGGCGGGAGTGGGCCTCTTTCCCGGGTGGGACAGGTAGCACCCAGATGGCATGATGCCCAGGGCCAGGGGGAGCTGGGCTGCCCTGCCCACCTGCCTGGCACGTGCCTCAGAAGCTTTCTGGGAGCCATGACAGTCCCAGTCAGGCTCGTGGGGCGTTAGTCATGGACCCCAAAAAGGGCTCTGCTGAGGTCACCACCTGTCCAACAGGAAGTGGGCCGAGGGCACTTCTCCTGCCTGCAAACCGCAGGCCCCTGGGCACCTGGGAGGACTTCAGACACCGGCTACTCTTGAAGGAGGATCTCCAGTTGCCTGCCTGGTGGCCCATGATCCTCCCGCTGACTCACGCCGTTCTCTGCACGCTATGTGAGGAATGCGAGGGCTAAAACCATCTCCTCGCCGGCTCGGCCCTAAGCAGCCTTTTTTGGTTGTTCTATTAGGAAAGAATGCAAAATGCACAGCGTTCACCAGACTTCCTGTGCGGGAAGAGGAAACACAGACGGCAGCGTCTGTAAAGGGCAGATCCCGTCTTCCTTCATCCTGCATTCCTCTTCTCACCGGTTTCCCAGAAGGGCACGCGAGAGCCCGAGCTGTACCTGTGTTTGTAGCCTCTGCGTACACTGCCCCCCAAAGGCCTGGGAGATGTTCCAGAGGGAAGGCAGCAGAAGGGCTACTGTTTGCAGCTGACGTAGGTCTCCTCTGGGAGGTGTGTCTCAGAAACACCCAAGGCTTGCAGTTTTACGGGGAAATGGACGTGCTCACAAAAGGGAAGAGCAGTGGCTCAGTGGTTGGGCATCCGCCTGTGAACCAGGGGGTCACATTCCAGGCCCGGGTTGTGGGATGGATCCCCAGTAGGGGGCGTGCAGGAGGCAGCCAATCCATGATTCTCTCTCATCACTGACGTTTCTCTCTCCCTCCCTCTCTGAAATCAGTAAGAAATAAAGGAAATGCAGATGTTTGGGGAGCATTATCAGAGAAATGTCCGAGGAATAGCACAGGTCAGAGCAGCTCGGAGAGGGAAGATGTTGAAAAACATACATTGAGCAGGTGAAGAAGAAAGTAACATTTTAATAGGATGGTGGGAAAGAGAGCTGGCGGAGGTGACAGCAGAGCAAAGGCGCGCAGACTTCCTCTCGGGTCACAGTGGGGCCTCGTCCCTGCACCCAGACACGTCTTCCCGAGCGTCTCTACCGCGTCTCCCCCCGTGTGGGGTGATGTTCCCCCCAGAGCCGCCAAAAGTGCTCTGTGATCTACACAAATTCACGCTGAATACTTTCCAACGTTGCTCAGCCTTGGACTTAAAATAGCTATGAGCAAGGTCTTCAGGTTCCTGTCAGTCACGTGGCCGACTCCGCGGCCAGCTGGGCGAGGGCAGGGTGTGAGCAATCCCTACCCGCAAGGTAACCTTGTCGGAATCCTCCTGGTCCGTCAGAGGTAAATCATACCGTGAAGGTGCGAGATTAGAGCCGCAAGGCACAGTGGGAGGAGGAGCAGTTGTCAAAAAAGCCGAAGAAACACAGGAAAAAGAAGGCGGTGAGGTCACTGGGAAATGGTGCTGGTCTCGGGGTGCACTCACCCTCTGGCCTCCACACACCAGTCCTGCTGCACCACCAGCACCCGCTCTCTCCAGTCACGTGGTCTCTGGAAGACACCTGTCACGTGGACCTGCCTCGGAGAGGCCCGCCCATCTGCCTACCTTCCTCCACGGCCTGCCTCGACCCCGGCAAACCCCGGGGTGTGCTCGCTTAGTCTCCCGAGTGATGGGGGCGGTGGGAATCGCTGACGAAGGGCGGTGATCACTCTCCGCCACCCCCTCCCCCATCCCATTTCCATGTGTCCGACACCTGGCAAGGAAGCGAATACACCTCCCTGCTCAACAGTGACCAGGGCCCTCTCCCTCACCCTTAACCAACCCTGCACCTGCCAACAGTCCCAGGACTTCTCCGCAGTTCGCCCAGGTGGCCGAGGTGGGGACCGGAGCTGATCCTGCCCTCGGTACATTCCTTACCCCTAAACACTAGTAACAGAGATAAAACACTACTTCAAAAAGAAACCGCCGTCAGCGTGTGCCGTGTGCTGGTGACTCGAGCCCTTCGCCCGGGAGCAGGGCTGGGCGCAGGTGGGTGATCACGCTGGCCACTGACCACTGCTTGTCTCAGCTAACACACGCACCCTAAGGACCTGCTTGCTTAATATCACGGTACATGGCTATGGGGGGTGCCCCGGATTTAAGTGCGCAAACAGGATAGAACTGGCTGCAGTCCATCTGAGTTGGGTGTTGGACTCATTGACCCTATGGTGCTCCTTGGACCCACAGTGGGAGGCGGCGTCTGAAATTAAGTAAGTGGAGGACTCGCTAAGCATTCCGGGGACGCAAGTAACACTGCAAACCATCGCTTCAAGCAAAGAGGACACCGGGCGTCCGCCACAGATTACCCTTCCGCAATCGAGGGTTTCCACACCTGCGCTGTGACGCCACTCTTCTTGGCCGAGAACTTGGGCCGCGGTGCCACCAGATACGCCGTGGAGGCCACCTCTTGCTTTGGAGAGACGGGGACGCCCGTGGGCACCGGGGATGCGCTGACCGGGGAGGCGGCCTCGGGGAAGAAGGCCGGCTGGGGGCTGTAGGCCGGCAGCGAGTACACGGACGCGGCCTGTGCGTTGGTGGGCGAGCTGGCATCAGTGGGCGAGCTGGCATTGATGGCCCGGGGCGGGAGGGCCTGCCTGGGGGCCGGGCCGGTGTTGACCTTGGCCGGTGACCTCTGGAGGAGGCCTGCCTTGGCATCTGGGGGTTGGAAAGTGAACAGGGATGCGTTGAGCTGGTAGGGCTGGTGCTTCATGACATCCAGAGCGTTGAGCGGCTTCTTGCCCTTCTTCTTGCTGGTTTTGGAGGCCTGCGGGGCCGAAGGCTGGGACTTGACAGCCGCCAGCGGGTAGGAGGGCGAGTGGATGGGGTTGTAGGCCACCGGGGGCGGCGCTCGCACGTTGGAGGAGTACTTCCAACCGGCCGGGAGCGACGGCGTGGGGGACTGGGCGCGAGCGGCGTGGGCCTGCACGGTGTCCGAGTCCACCACGTACTTCTCCATCCTCGACTGCCTTTTGGCGAAGAGCTGGGCCCCTTTCCCCTGCATCCCCGGAAGCTCGCTGGGCGGGCCCGCGGCGCTCACGTGCGAGGCGCTCCCGGCCGGGGTGGGGCCCGCTGGCTTGGCGGTGTGGTTCACGCTGGCCACCGCCGCCTGGGGGCCTCTGAAGGGACCGGCCAGGTTGAGGGCGCTGGCGGGCCTGGGCGGAGGGTAAGACGGCTGCGCTATTTTGATGGATGACTCCACGGAGCCCTGCAAAGGCGGGGGCCTGGGGAAGGCCGGCTGCGGGGCTGGACCCACGCCCGGAGACCAGACTGGAGACACGGGAGACACGGGCGTCGCGGGCTGGGAGGAGGAGGAGGCCTTGACTGCGGGCTTCGGGGCCACGGGCGGGGGCGTCTTCTGCTTGGCGGCGGCGCCGTGCATGAAGTTGCAGGCCTCCGCCCCGAGGCTCAGGTAGTCTTCCTCGGGCCCCGAGTCGGCCCCCGCGCCGCGCTTGCCCTCCGCGCTTTGGGAGGAAGCGACAGGAGCTCGGGGTTCGGGCTCACCTTGGGCTCCTTTGAACGTGAACATGGGCTTGGCGGGTGCTCCTGCGCTTGGCCTCCTGCAAGAATGCCCGTCATCTTGGCGGGCACGGCGATGCGCTCGTCGCGGGACGCGATGCTCTCTGGTGCCAGGGCGCGGGCTTGCGGCCACGCGGGGCTG